TTTTTTTTTTTTTTTTTTTTTTGTACATTTGGCTAGCTCAGCAAATCCGTCTTGACATACAGCCATTTTTCCAGGTAATGCATTTTTCCCCATGGCTGGGGTCAGCTACAAATAGGATGTCTCTATTTCTTGCGCCCTTCTCCGCGCTCCCAGTGAGCTATATGAAGAAGCGAATTACTACACGATGTTTTCGTGTAGAGACAACGCACAAGTTGGTAATTCCATTTTAGACTCTATCCCAAAATGGTTGCTGAACGGGAAGTCGTTGTGTCATCTCGTTGTAGTTTTTTTCCCACGAAGGGATGCACACCTCCCAGAAAAGGAAATATATATTTGCTTGATTTACAGACTTGACTACTCATTTTGTGTGGTCCTAATGGGAGCAACAAATGTACTACCGTTGTGCGTTAAAGCTATGCCAAAGTGTGGAGCAAAGTGAGTACACACGCACTCAGGTGGTTACTCACACCTTCTTGAAAAATGTCCTAATGGCTACATAGACGTTACGAATGAGCTGGATATAGCCAAATGACAAATGTTTTGTAATTACGACACCGTTCAATTGTCGCAGATTTTTTTTTACTGCATACGGCTACCAATGTAGCTACACCGTTGCAGTTGTAGATGACATGTTTTAGACAGAGCGCTTATTACTAGGGAATAAAGTGCGCCGATTTTTTTTCTTACGAGCACACTTTTTTTTTTCCTGACCATGACTGAACATATTGTCTTACCGAACTTTAACGGGAAAAGTGAATAAATTAGCAACTAGCCAAAATGTTTCCAAGTAATGCAATTTTTTTTTTTTTTTTTTTTTTTTTGCCATTTTTGTTGTAGCTACATGAGTTTTGAGAATTTAAAAAAAAAAAGAAAAAAGGATAAAACAAAGACGTCAGTGAGTTAACGATTGGACAAACACAAAATGTAAAAAAAAAAAAACAAAAAAAACAAAATTAAAAAAGTAATATTGTTTTGTCTTATTTCCACATTATTATTTTCATTAGTTTATTTTTATTTGTTCATTTCGACTTACTCATTTCCTCACACTCTTTCTTCCATTGTTGCATTGTTGCATATTTTTAATTTTGTTTCCCTCTATTCGTCTACTAACTGCATTATACAAAAACTCCTATCCTGTTGAGAGAATACCCAATTCACATTGTCCCCCTTCCCTACTTTTGCCCCACCACCCTTGTTCAAAATGAATACCTACCAGAGTTTGTTCTTCCTTTTGGCCATGGTGCTTTCGGTTAAGTATACCTTCGCAAGGGTCACCGCGGACACACAATGCAAAAATGGCTATGTAGTCCAAATGAGCAATCACTTTGAATGCAAATGCAACAACGGATTTGTGAAAGCAAATGAAAACACGTGCTTGGAAAAACGTGATTGTACAAATCCACAAAATTTAAATAAGAACTGTGCAGATTATGCTGTGTGTACAAACACCAGTGTGAATGATGCGGACAGAGCAGCACGATGCACCTGTATAGTAGGGCACATAATAATGAAGGAGGTGTGCATTCCAAATAAATGTAACGGTATTGTGTGCGGACAGGGAAAGTGCATCATAGATCCTCTTAATGCAAATAACACCATATGCTCTTGTGACATAGGAACCATATTAGATGAATCTAGAAAATGTGGAAAGCCAGGAAAAACTGAATGCGCGTTGAAGTGTAAGGCAAACGAAGAATGTAAACTGACTGAGAATTATTACAAATGCGTTACTAAGGCAAGCGGTGGACAAGGTAGTGGTGGACAAGGAAGCGGAGGAGAAGGCAGCAGCGGAGAAACAGGAGCAGCTTACAGTCTCATTAATGGATCTGCAGTAATCAGCATATTAGTTGTATTCGCTTTCTTTATGATGTCATTAGCGTAGAAGATTCTACACACATATGTATATATATACATGCACTAGGGAAGAAGAATTTCACAGAGTCATTACAAATCGTACGCACAAAAAAGGAAAGTATATCGACCTGCAGGGAAAGAGCAGGTATGTGTGCAGTTATGCCTGGCATAAGCACCCCCACCCAGTTGCGTTGCTGTTAGCTTAAAATTTTAGTTGCATCCCAATGTTGTGACTTTGTTCGCTCAAATGTATTGTGACCATATGACAACAATAAATGTATTTTCGCCGAAGAAGGTGGCAACGCCTGGTGACCTGGGGTGCGACAATGATGTGCATGTTTTGTTTTATCCCTTTGCGTTGTTAAGCAGTTAACAGTTTACCAGTTAGGCCTTTTTTTTTTTTTTTT